TCCAAAGGTCATCCCTACTCATATCATTATTTACAATATCATAGGTTATTAGAAAGATGTAGTTTGAAAAATACACATTAAAAATATCAAATAGTTGTTCTTCGAAGACATTCTTACTTTAAAACATTCTTTCAAAACATTATTTTCAAAAACATTTAACACTTCATTTCAAAACATTTCATATATCAAGTAAAGTGGGTCAAATGCATGTTTTAAAATTTCACAAAATACAAAATAAAGTTGAGAAAAAAAATTTCGCAGCTTTGATATTCAAACTTTGGGAGACTATAAATCGATGAATATGAAACCAAAAAATGACAAAATTATAGTCTAAAATCATGTACAAACTCTATACTACACTTTGGAAAAAAACCGCATGCTATTCCGACTTCAAACGAATTAAATATGCATGTTTTAAATCAATCATGAAATACAAAGAAAGCTGAAAAACATAAAATTTTCAGCTTTGATATCCCGACTTTGAGAGACTATAAGTTAATTAATAAACACCAAAAAATAACAAAATTATAGTCTAAAATCATGTACAAACTATAAACTACACTCTAGAAAAAACCTCATGCTAACCCGACTTCAAACGAATGAGATATGCATGTTTTAAAACTATCACAAAATATAAAAAAAGTTGAAAAACATAAAATTTCCAGCTTTAATATCCCAACTTTGAGAGACTATAAGTCAATGAATATAAACTAAAAAATAACAAAATTATAGTCTAAAATCATGTACAAACTATAAGCTATACTATGGAAAAAACCTCATGCTAATCCGACTTTAAACTAATGAGATACGCATGTTTTAAAACTATCACAGAATACAAAAAAAAAAAAAAAAAAAAAAAAAAAAAAAAAAAAAGATGAAAAACATAAAATTTCCAGCTTTGATACAAGTCAATGAATATAAACCCAAAAATGACAAAATTATGTAACAACTATAAACTATACTATGGAAAAAACCTCATGCCAATCCAACTTCAAACGAATGAGATATGTATGTTTTAAACTTTCCGTAGAAACCGGTTTTGGCCCCTAAAACTGGTTCCAGTTCCTAACACGGTTCCAGATCTTAAACTAGGTTTACCCGGACCCGAAGGACTCAAAACCCAGATTACCCAGAACCTGGATAGAGCCATTCTTTAAACTCGGGACCCGAACTGGTTTTACATATTTCGGTTCTAACGGTTTCAGTTTTGGTCCGATTCCGGTTCCGGTTCTGGTCCGGTTTTCCGATTCTAAATCTCATCCCTATCCATGAGGTACTCCTATTGAGCCATGGAGTATGATATTTTTCCATGCATGGCTTTGTTTTTCCATGTATGTCCCTTTTTCACCAAGGTAGTATTGTTTCTCCAATCTTGATGTTCTTGTGTCACACTTGATGCCTGTTGTTCCATCCATAAAAACCTGTTACGCCATCATGGTGAAAAAGTTGGACCATCTTGGTCCTTGATGAGCCAAGTATGCTATGAAGTCCTCTATAATGCTCAAGATCGTTCAAGGATGCTCAGAAGTTGGTATTGCTCAAGGATTACAACATGTTGCGTCACCATGATAGATGTTGTGCGATTAGTGTTCATGATGTGCCACTTGTATCATGATGCTCCACTATGGCACAAGGTGATCCATCATGTGTGTTTCTGATGCTCATCGGTTGTATTACATGGAAGAATGTTCTAGAAGATGTTGGATGGCGGAATATGATTGGTTGCCACCATTCATGGGAAAATGGGCCAATGGGCTTGGTCCATTAGGCTTTTAGGTATGATCCCTCTAATATAAATACAGATGCATGTAGAGTCATTTGAAGTGTCTTGTGTCCTGTATCTTGTATCCTTAGTGAGTTGGAAGAATCTATGGTGAATTGTACTTGTAAACTCTGTTCGAGAACTCTTAAATAAAGAATACTTCCCTCATGCCCATGGATGTAGGTCACCTTGACCGAACCACGTAGATACTATGTCTTTGTATGCTTATAGTTTTGCTTGTTATCCGCATTAATTCCTAACAAGGGTCATCAGAACTTGGTCAGTGGCATCAGATTTGTTATGAGTCTTGACAAGTATCGCCTGTTTTTCCCTAACATGCCCAGATCCAAAACTCTGGATTTGAACAACGCAGTCGCGACCAAAACCATTGTCACATTTTGAGGACTATGCCATCACCTCGTGACTAAGCCAATCCAAAATAATCGAGATAAATCTCATTGGCATGTTGTAACCACCATATGGTCACGTTGTGACTTCAAGAAATTGGGAAACTTAATGCATTCAACCCTAAATCCTTAAAGTCACCCATTCAAACTTTCTAGAGGGCATTCTTACTCCAAAAACATCCTAAAAATTGATGCTTTATAGACATGCATAACCAATGCATGTCTTGAACTCATAAAGGTAACTAAAGAAGAAGAAATGGATCCACACTCACATGAATGACATCAAAACTTAGTCAAACCTCATATCTATTAAACACAATCCTCAAGGGACCATAATGACCCATAAAGTTGCCAACTTTATGGAATCCCTCCAACCAAACTTCCACAATATAAAGAAACAGGAACAAATAGCCAAAATATGGAAGCTAACATCATAAAGTTTGGATCTTGAATACTTACAATGGTCCATAAATGGTTCAAACTCAAACTTCAAGCTTGGCGAGAGGTCTTCTACACCACAAGGGTCTTCTTCCCCCTTCTAAGGACACCAAAACTCCAAGAATAAGCTCACAATGAAGATGAGGATATTAGGTTTTGATCAAAGATCTAGATGGTGATGGAGGCTAGAAATGAAACCCTAAATCCGAGATTAGGGGATTAAATACGAAGGAAACTGTAAAAGATCATGGGCTTGGGATGTTGTCTTTTTCACGTCGTGACCATACACATGTCACATCGTGACTAGCCTCCAGATAGACATTCTCATTCTTGACTTGTCATGTCATGACCTCCGTATGGCCACGTCATGACTCATGGTTTTTCTCAAAAACCATGCATTTGACTCTTTAATGCCCTACACTGATCCATTTTGGAAAACTGGTGTTACAATTATTTATTTATGGAGTCTCTAATTTTGTATAATTCATCCTCAAAGTATCAGTAACTGTTTCTTCAAATTTCATCCTTACAAGATGCATATTTTATAAACATATACTTTTTCATATGATAGTTGGGTAACTAAAATTTACACAAATGAAATCATTAAGGACTATGGCAACTATACATAATGAACTACTTTGAATCCATCAACGCATAAACATATAATAATCTAGCATCAAACACAATTGTTGCAATGCCTTTTTGATACAATCTAGTTTAAGGAATAAACTTTGATCTAACAACCCTTTCACTTATCGACATCCTTTTGCAGGTCTTTAAATATCTATCATGGTATTGCGCTTTGTTAAACCACTACAATAACCTTAAAATTCACCATTAATCATGGGATACAAATGATGTAAGTAGTTTTATTTGATGTTGAATTGAATTTCATGAACACAAATGATGCAAAACCAATATAATGGACTTTCAGTAAACACAAATTTTGGTGAACAAAAATTTAGGATACCCTATTCATTTAACAAATCAAATGAACAAATATTTGAAGCAACATATCAAATGAACAACTTAGTAACAAATCAAAACTCAGCTCAAATTTCAGAAATTAACAACTTGGTAAACAAATATTTCAGTAAATACATAAGCTAGCCGATTTTAGAAAATCAACACAACACATAACCATAGTCAATTCAGAAAATCAACAATGATTTCAGAAAAAACTGAGAAAAAGAAAAGAGAGAAACTTACTTGTAGTATGCGACGAGAAAGCGGTGGTGTTGGACTATGACGACGTGTATGGTGATGGAGCGGAAAGGGAGAGGTTGCATCATTGACGAAGAGACGCTCAAGGAAGAATGAAGATGTGTTTTTTAGGTTTTAAAGTACAAGTCTGCTTTTGTACCTTTGGAATACTTGGAAGACTTTAGAAGTGACTCTCCAAATCTTTTAGGAATCTGGAAAAAAAACATACAAACATACAAACATTTTGACATATGCCATCTTATGAGAAACAAACATTTTTCAAACAAAATATATGCCCGCCCATAAACTATAGAAGTCAAAAAAAGGTTTCGTTAAACAAAGACATCATCTTGCCCGTTCAAATAGAGAAGTTCCTAACTATTTAAGTTTACCATTTGTTTTGTTTTGTTTTTTTGTTTTTGTTTTTTTTTTTTTTTTTTTGTTTTTTATTTTTTTTTGTTTTTTTAACGGAAGATATATTAATAATAGAAACTAGCAAGAAGCTAGCACAAATTACAAAATACAAGCATGAAACGGAGAAATAGACCAATCCAACCAATAATTGTTTCTAAACATCGATCTATTCTCCAATTATAAGATAACAGCTAAATTTCACATGCCGCCTTAAGTAGAGAAATTTATCCTTTTGCTGAAGATCAAAGCATTACGAGTTTTCCAAATAACCCACACCAGCGAGTATAAAAGCGTCAGCTCCAACTTTTTTCTATTTTTACTTCCCACTGGAATTTTCAATATAGAAACCCAGTCCTTAATACAAGCTAGAGCAGTAACAAACAAGCCACTCCAAGCTACAAACCAAATCCAAATATGCACAGAAAAAGAGCAATCAAAAAAATACATGCTCTATGGACTCCACCTTACAACCACACCATTTGCAAGACAACTCATTAATGACAACCCCTCTAAGCAATAAATTATAAGCAATCGAGATCTTGTTACAAAGTAACCTCCAAACGAAACAATTAACTTGCATAGGGACCCAACCCACCCATTGAAAGTCAACTTTGCTGTCATTTGCATCGAGATTTAACGCTATCAAACCTCTAAGAGATGAAACCGAGAACAACCCTGAAGAACTTCCCTTCCACACCAATGTATCATCAGAAACGGTCAGATTTGTACCTGCCACAACAGCTTCTAAACCCTCAAGCTAAGCCATCTCTTTACCCCTCCTCGACAACCTCTTCCAATTTGTAAAACCTTGCAATTTTTATTTGACTCAATTTTGTATAACTTCATAAAAGTATTTTTAAAGTTATATCTTTTAAAGTTGTATAACTCCATAAAATATACTTTTAAAGCGAAATGAGTTCGATTTCCGTCCTCTAATTTCCTGTAAAAAAAATCATCAAAACAAATATTCCACTCCTCCAAAACGATGTGGATCCTATACATGATAAATTCACATATTAACCCTGTATATTCATATATTGGCAACTTCCAACCTTGTTTTAATTTCTTAATTGCATTCTAACGGAGTTGCCTTTGCAGAAACCAATGAAATCGTGTGTGCTCCCACCGTTATCATCGTATGAGCCTGTCGATTTTTGCAACTCCATGTGAGTTCTCATGTAATTTGCTCCGGTAATCTTCGAAATGCTTTGTATCATTGCATTATCAGTTCACATTGTCTGTGATTAGGCTCTATTTCGACCTCAAGCTGTTTCCTCATTCGTAAACCCTAATTATCCTGTCCATTTTCTTTGTTGGCTTGCGGATTGAAATCATAACGTTTTCTGATTTGTTTTAATTTGACTTCAATTTTCGAAACCCCTCATCGATCGACACTTGAATCGATACTCGATATCTTGTTTCGACAGTCGATGGCTTGTGGAATTCACATTTTAGCGCTGAAGTACCATTCCTTCTCGGCAATTGTGAATGAAACCAATGAACGTGCCATCGCCAAGGAAAATCCTGATTCAGTGCTTCACTGGAGAGACAAACATAGCTTTGTTTCACCATTCCGTAACCAAAGGTAATGGCCCTACACTATCTGAACAATATACATCGTGCCTACCTAATAATATGCATCATTTTGAATAATTTTAATTGCCATAGGAATTGCTTGATAAGCTTTCTGGTTCTTGATTAGTATCTGATGTTATAGTGCAAGCTACAGTATTCCAATTTGGTTTTGGTATCTGAATATCTGTCTGCAGTTGGCAAGTAAAGCCTTTTAATTTTATAGTGATTTGTATAGTTATGAGGAATTAGGTATTGCTGGATTGCCTCCAAGATACAGAACTTTATACGATACCCTCTGAATACTGTAGTTGAATCCTAAGCAAGCCTAACACAGTCTATTCTTTGCAACAGTTTCCTAAAAAGACAACGTAATTTGGAGATGACTTTTGCTCTAAACACTGGTGGTTTACCTAACAATGGTGAGCAAGAAAGCATCAATGGTGAAAGCCCAACGGGCCTAGGGCAAACAAGATTGGGCCGATTAGTGAGTGCAAGTGGGAGACAACTTTTGGATAAACTAAACTCAGCTAGAAAGAATTTCCCAATGAAGGTATTTCTTTTACTCCTTGGTTTCTACACTGCAAATGCATTAGCTACAATCCTAGGGCAAACTGGGGATTGGGATGTTTTAGTTGCGGGTGTTGTGGTGGCTGCAATTGAGGGAATTGGTATGTTGATGTATAAAAAGTCAAATAGTAAGAGGTTTGAGTCTTTGATTGTCATGGTGAACTATTGGAAAGCTGGTGTTTGTTTAGGTCTCTTTGTAGATGCCTTTAAATTAGGTAGTTGATTATTTTTTACTATATTGTTTGCTTTAGAGAGTTAGAGTAATTATATTCTACCTCTAAATTCCTTTTTGACTATTGAGAGATATTGATAATAAGATGAGAAAGGTAAATTTCAGTGTATTAGAGCTAAACTATGTTTGTAGAATGTTTATGAAATGAATGGAATATGTGAGCATTTAGAATATGAAAGAATTATAATATGTAACGTTGTTTGGTTGAAAGGAATCTCATAATAGAAACTAGAAAGGTTACCCCCGCCACGCGGGGCTAGAAACTATCAATGTTTTTTTTCATGTTTTTATGAAAAATGTAAAGGTTTTGACTGCAATGACCAGAAAGTGTCAAAATGGTTAAAGAATTAAAGGGGTAAGAATTAGCAACTTTTTAGAAAAATAATCAAAGTTGTCAAATTGTTAAAGTGTAAAAATATTGATTGCAAGGATCAAAAGTGTCAAAATGGGTAAAAAAATGAGGTGCAAAGTTGTCAAAAGAACATCCAAATTTACTATTAGTAACTTTGAAGTCCAATAATAATACAAAGAGCAATTCTATCAAAAAAAAAATGGCACATTTACTATTTCTTTTCTTGAGAACTTTAATTAATATATATATAATTGTATGATTTTTAAAATTTGAATTAATCAATTTTTTTTATATATTTTTATTGATCTCGATATATATAAAGTAAGGTGTTAATGTTGTAAATGTATAACAAATAAAATAGTTTTTCTTCATAATATCTCCAATATTTAAAAAAAAAGAAAATACTATCATTCAATTAAAAAAAAATATTTATCTCGGTATATAAATGGGCGGTTAATGTGGTAGTAAATGTGTCACGCTTATGCTTATTTTTTATTATTATTATTTTTTTCATAAAACATAATTATTTAAAAAATACATAAACAGAAGGTAGCCATATGAAAATTTATGTTCACAAATTATAATTTTATAAGACTTCTTTAACATATTTTTACCTTCTTTTTCTTCTAGACAACTTGTACTTATTACTACTAACCAATGGTTGAGTGTAAAAGGATTTTGAATAAAGGTGGGCATGTGAGGGTTTTGACTTTTTGACCGTCTTTTGATGCTTTTCTTGACGGTCAAAGATTTTTTTTTAGTTATTTAATTTTTTTTATTCCTTCAAGATTATAATTTTGTTCTTTTTTGGTAGTAGACAGACTTCAAACACCACATGTCCGTACCACCCTTCAAAATTACCTCCTTTAGCTTCGTTTTGCTAAAAAAATTTGTCCAAAGTGTCTTTGATTTTTATAAGAATTTAGTCTTAATTATTGCTAAAATAGAAACTATGTATATTATTAAACATTTAAACTGCATTTTTGAATGAATCTAAGATACACTTTTGAACCGATTAAATTTTAGCTAACAGTTTACTTTATTCGAGATAAAATTTTGTTTTATACCCCCTAATCATATTTTATAGTTTTTCTATTTTTATAACCTCAAAGTTCTTAAAATAGCCCACATATCCAATATGTTTTTTTTTTTAATTGACAAATTAGAGGGGAGAGGTTTATAAAATGTTTCAAATTATTGAGAATAAGTGTTTGATTATTAGAAATAATAAAAAACTTTGGAAGATGGCTTATAAATTTAAGTATAAACATAGAAATCTGATATGACATAATAAATTAGCTTTACAAAAGATTAACCATTATTATATACGAATCAATAATGTCACCTATGAACATATTTATTAATCATATCACAGACAAATAAATATTCGTAGATGACAAGGACAAACCAAGCGATGTGCATTCTGGATTGTATAATGGGCTTTATCCTCTCTTACTTTGGAACGATCCAAACCGATCCTTTTATCTTTAAACAGTTAATATTATCAATTTATAAACATTATTATATTACTATTGTTATATAATTAGGAAAATGTCAAAAAGAAGGCCTATTATAGGCCAAGCATTGGAAAAACTGTTGTATTTATTTTGTGCAAATTAAAACCCTCTCCATTGCATCTAAACCTTCTACAAGATTTGATTCATTCTAAGTGCCCATAATAGAAACATAGTAGTCTTTTAGAATCACTGACATGCGCAACATATTTTACCTCAACTAAGTCATCATTGCAGCATGCCATTTTAAGAAAATGAACATTCTCAAATATATGATACTAGCTTGGACAATTAGAATATACTGAAGTCCTTTTTGTCTTTATAAACTTTTATAACATTTGGGCATATAAAAAAAGTCGAATGCAAGTCCTTAAATAACCAACTTCGTGGACAACACTCTAATTACCTTAAAAATAAAAGTTACATCACAATTACGTCAATTATAAATAAAAATAAAATACTTATTTTATTTCCAATGTCGATTTAACAACGGGTATATGACGGTTATCATCGTGTTGTCACATCCATGACCACATGTGTAAGTAACACATTTTCCTATGAGATTAAAATGTTCTTAAATCGGTGTTGATTGTTTGTCCTTAGTCCATACAAAAGAATCTTGATGCCAATTTGAGGATCACTTTGATGAATTATCGTGAGCCTTCTTTTTACAATGAATAGAATAAAAAGAGAGAGAGAAAACATTTAAAAAAAAACGAGAATATTTTAAATAATTAAACAAAATAACTATATGTATGAAAGCAAATTAGAGATCATTTGGAGAGCAAACTAAAGAAATTTTAGAGGGTAGTTTTTGGAGACCAAACCAACTTCCCCAACAACGCGCCATTTACTTGGTGTATAATTTTAGTATATAAATGTGATGTAAATATTGAAAATACTAAACGAAAACTAGCACATTAGGACAATGAACCCATTATATATTGACGTAGATTTGATAAATCCATATATCAAACCACAAAGACAATAAGTGAAATCTCAATAGTAAATCTATGCTAATCATATTATAGACAACAAGATATTGACTGAAATAAACTGCACTAAGCATTAAGTGTTTTTTATTCAAGTTAATACGGGTTTATACCATTATGATTAATATATATTGTTTATTATTAATAATAATTACATGCTGATATCTTATGTTAGTCTCAAAATTAGTTTAGAGATTTGACGATGATAATTTGTAATAATTGTCCTTATGTAAAAGATGGTATCTTATAAGTCTCGCAATATTTGTGTCAATACCATGTGATAACCACTTTTGGGACTTAAAAACTTTTTTTTTCAAGTTTTTTAGATAGCATATCTTGTGCATAGAATCTATAATAATTTATATTAGTCAAAATCAGAGCATGTTCTTTCTCTTGTAGATTTGAAGTCAAGAACTATGTTGATCAAAAGAACCTACAATAACAAACTTATCCATAGAATCGGAGATAATTTCTTGTATATCAAGGACTAGAAACAAATGTCAATCATTGAAGATTTGAAATACATAAGTATATAAGTTTTCTTGTTTTAGAATAAGCAACATCATCGTATGAAAAGAAGACAGTGTGTCATCACCTAAAGATTAATATAATTGTTCGCTTCTTGTAATTCAAAATCTAACTTGACATTCCTACTCTGCCAAAACCAACACAATTCTCATATGTTAAAAACTATGTAGAGTCAAGACAATATGGTGCATGCGTATGTACATAGTCATGGTGCTAAGGCTATGTTTGGCGTACTAGCTGAAAAGCTAGCTGTTGGTTGAAAAGTTAGCTGATAGCTGAAAAGTTAGTTGTTAAATAAAAAGCTAGTTGATAGCTGAAAAGCTAGTTGATAGCTGAAAAGCTAGCTGATAGTTGAAAAACTAGCTGATAAAAAATAAACATTTGGTAAAATTAGCTGAAAAGCTAGCTAATATATAAAATTACATAAAAAGACATGTAAGAGTATGTGTTTCTATAATTACTTAAGGGTATATTTGGAAAATTTAAAAAAATCTCATAAAAATCTAATCTAAGTAGCTTTTCAAAAAGCTAGCTTATAAGCTACTTTTTGGCTTACCAAACACGACAACATAAAAAAACTCGAAAAATAAATTAGCTTATCAGCTAGCTGTGACGCGCCCAACACAACCTAAGAGGGGTACTAGGAACCACCTAATTTGGAAACTTGTATTATAAATAATACCTTAGAAACTATCTTATAAATTTTTAAAGACTTACTCTATAATACTTACCAAAAATATATGTATCAAAAAATTTTAATTTAAGCCCATAATTTAAATTTCAATCTATTTACAATAGCCCAAGTGATTTAAAATTTAACTAATCGACAAGAGCCCAGTACATTAAATTAAACAAATAGTTGAGATTTGGGAATTTTGATTGATAATAAAATAAGTAATTTTAGGTATTGATAGATATTCTTATTATTAAGCTTCAAAACTGATGGCCCAATTGATCCAACATAAGCGAAGATAATTACAGCACAATATATTACATAATATATATCTTATAAGTTTGTTTATGCATTATATAATTGAACATAAGTATATGAAATCGTTGTATTGCTATTGTTGATTGTTGTGGATATCAAAGTTAATGTTATATTTGTTAGTTATAGTTAGTGGCTATATTAAAATCAATGTCGTTATTTGCAATTGTGTGTTAGTTCAATAGTTATTGAAAAGTGTGTTTTAAAAAATATCTATCAATAACAATACAATAAATGTATTTCAAGATATAAGACATCTTTGGTTATAATTGTAAGCATTTCAATATGACAATTGAATTTATGTTTAAATATGTTTAGTCATATGAGCCAAACCGCTACCAGTATTTTTTTTTATTATTATTTTTTTTTTCAGTTTCATATAAATGAAAAACGACATGATTATCGGTTCTAAATTCACTACGCATAATTGGACATTTAATGCAACACATCTTTAGTAAGATATATCTTTGACAAAGAGCATTTGTAAACAACAATAAAGTATCTTGGAAAGTATAAAAAAACAGTCCCATTAGATAAATAAATAAATTCATTATAGCTTGTTTGTTTCCGTAGATTTACATTACATAATCATTGGTAAACATGCGAACATAATATGGATAATAAGGTGTTATAATTTAATTATTATTAGTTAGGTTAACGAACATAAGAACACCCTCAACATGAAATGAAAAGAATATTTATAGAGTTTATCTCACAACAACACTTCAATGATGCGTAAGATAAATGTAGAGAATTTGAAATGGTCAACAAGCAATAAAAACAATAAGAAAGCATTTAGTTCA